ACTTTGAATAGTTGTTGAATGAATTGGCTGTAGGTTGAGAACTACCTATAATGCTCTCTTTCTAGAAGGACAGGTAGTCCTCAACTTACAACCACAATTGAGCCCAAAATTTCCATTGCTAAACAAAACAGTTGTTAATTCAGTTTTGCTCCATATTATGACACTTCTTGCTACAGTTAAGTGAACTACTATAGTTATTAAATTGATAACACAGTTGTTTATTGAATCTGGCTTTCCCATTGACTTTGCTTATCAGAAGTTGCAAAAGATGATCATATGACTCTGGGACACTACATCTGTCATAAATACATGCCAACTGCCAAGCACCCAAATTCTGATACTTTGACCATGGGGAATGCTACAATGGTCATATGAAAAATGATCATAAATCACTTTTTTTTAGTGCTGTTGTAATTTTGAATGGTCACCAAACAAATGGTTTGACGGGTACCTGTATAGAAGACCCTGTTTGATTTATTGAAACTTGGGGCCTGGTTATACATGACTTCATTATTTATGTTTATATTCCATTATATTGGTGTGCCAAAATGCTTTTTGGTAATATATATGTGGGGGTCAATACATCCATACCTAATTTCTCCTCTATTAATGCAAGTTCGCCTTTCAATTCATCAAGTTTTTCTTTTTTTTTCCATTTCTAAAATATCAAAGGATTGTAGTTTTTCAAGTTCACTGTTTACTTCATTACATTTGAGAAATGCTGCTTTGTACTTCTGAAGGTCGTCTAATATATAAAGAAAAAAGGTTTTTTTGGGTTAATAAAATACACTATAATCTGTAATAGTAATTAGCAGAAACAATGAAGTCACTATTCATTGTCATTAAATAAAAGTATTGAAGAATGCTTGATGAATAATTTTGTTTGAGTGAGAATATATACATATACATATGCATATAAATATATATATACATACATCATACATACATACATACATACTTACATACATATATATGTATGGTATTCAGCTTTGTTCGGGTATTTTCCCACGTTAGTATAGTTGTGCTTTTAAAATTGTAGCGACATTTAGGCAGAATCTCATCTGCCATCATCAGGCTTGTGTATTGGGTTCGTTGATGAATCCAATCAAAATAATTTTATTCATTGAAGATACAATAAAATGTACATTACTTTATAACGTTTTTCTAATGTCTGCAATGTACGTCATATTGGAAACCAGCTAAAAACTTCTATTTCATTAGTTTAATATACAATAATAGTAGCAGCAATTTGGTAATCAATTTAATTCAAATCTAGCAGTAATTTTAATTGAATTCTTAACAGAAACACTTAATAAAACATTGTGTGTAACAGTTGATTTCATTTATTAAACTCTGAATGCACCTATCTGTAGGCAGACAATATTGTAATCCGGTGGCAGAGGTTCTCCAAAAACCATCCCCCGAAGCTTCTCTATAGGCGGGGCTTTATTTGAAAGGCCTCCAAACTTTCCATTACTGCGAATTCTGTACCCCTCTCTTGTTAATAAAGTTGGACAATCTGTCATTTTCACAACCTATATATATAAAGAAAAAAATTATTATCAAAATTCAGTACCTTTTTTGTTGAAAAGTAATGCCATGCCAGGGGTGTCAAACCCAAGGCCTGCAGCAGGCCAGCCCATGTTACTTTGGCCAGGCCCACCCAATCCTGGAGTGTGTGCACACAGAAGGCGGCAGATGCCTGCATGCATAGGTCAGGCCCACCTCATCCTGACCGCGCATGTGCGCATTTTTAGATGTGTGTGCATGGGGTGAGGTGTTTTGGCAGCAGGGGCTCTGCAGCTGGCTTTCCAGGAAGCTTTGGCCTGGCCCATTCTATCACGGCAGGCATGTATGCATGCAGACCATGTGCGTGGACAGTCCCAGCCACGCCATCCCAGTAAGCGTGCATGAACACAGGAGGCAGTTGGGATGGTGGGGTCTGTGCGTGCATGCATCTGCCAACTCCTGCACACGCATGCACCCAACTCCCCTGCCACTGGCCCATGAAGGAAAACTGAAACGCTGATCTGGCCCGTGAAGAAATCGAGTTTGACACCCCTGTTCTATACCCCTAAGCAAGCTTTTGTTGTGATCCTATTAGAACAAATGCAAGTGCTTTTTTTCCCCCAAAAAAGAACAACTTAATTGCTATGTAAATGATATAGGATGAAATGGGGGTCCATGTATGAACTCAGTGGGCCCTGTATGAACTCTTTCTCGATTATGTATTTTATACAAACCCTGTTTGATTTAAAAGAAAGATACAAAAGCATGCCCCATTATATCACCACCAGCATCTGCACCTGCCTATTCTGCAACCTTCAGAATGAGCATGACCTCCCACCCTCACCCAGAATAATATTTTAAGACAGCAAATAACCTGAATGCCTTCTACCACTTTTGGTATTTGGGGAAGAGACTGTCTTCCCGCTCCCACCTACTGCTTCCCTTCCAATTTCAGCTTCTGAGGAGTCGGATTGGAAGCAGGTTAAGAGTTCTTTTTCCATTCTCTTTTTTGCACACTAACCTTTTTGTTACATATGATGTGGAAATATCATTCCAGCTAACTAAGAGGCAAACGTATTCCTTCAGTTCTAAGCTTGGCCCTTGTCCCATAGCATATTGCAACCAATCTGTTTCTTAAGCACAGGGCACATAGTTGACAGAATCGAAAGAATCTGAATTTCAACATGAATCCTGGGTACTTTTGAACATATTTTTATTCTTGAATTTGCTTCTTCCCTTAAACCAACTGTTTATAAAGGTTTCCCTTCAAATTTTCTGAGGAAGTAAAGCCTAGATTTACTATCTGTACTGAAAACAAAATAGCTCAATTGATCTGGATCGATCTAAAAAAAGCAGATCCTTCATTTGGGGACAACACTTGGATGAAAAAAATGTGCTGAAACCCCCCCCCCCCACACACACACATTTTAAATGCAATATTTTTTCTTTAAATTAGGCTTGTTTAAAATTAGCTAAGAATCGGGTGAATGTTTTTCTGTGTAAACTTAATTTTGATGGGAACTGTCTGAAAGTCAGAGTGGTCTCTCTTTTAATATCTCGGTAATCCTTGCTTAACAATGGCAACAAGGTGACTGTAAAATGTAATACCACATGACTGTCAATTTTCAATCTCAGTTGCTGTCTCGTTAAGCAAAATCTGCTTACTCATAGCATCCTATGGTCATATGATCACCATTTGTGATCTGCTGGCTTCCCCACAGATTTTGCTTTTTGGAAGCTGGCAGTGAAGATCCCAAATGGTGACCATGTGATTGCAGGCACACTGTGACAGCTGCAACTACAAGGACCCATTATAAGTCTGCCAAGTTCAGCACCATTGTGGTCATGCAGTGAGGACAATATTTTTTGATGACACCCAATTGTACATTTAATCCTGGAGATATTGCTGAAGTCTTATCTCAGTATTTGATGACTATGATTGTCTGGATAAAAGGTAAAAGTTTTCCCTATCCAGTCATGTCCAATTCTAGAGGTGTTGACATCAGTTCCTTAGCCGAGAGAGACAGCGTTGTCCAAAGACATCTCTGTGGTCATGGGGCCAGCATGACTACATCCTGAGGTGCACAGAATGCTGTTACCTTCCCACTGAACTAGTATCTATTTATCTACTTGCATTTGCATGCTTTCAAACTGCTAGGTGAGCAGGAGCTGGGCCAAGTAACCAGAGCTCACTCTATCATATGACATTTAGTTCTGAAACCCGAGCTGTCAGCTTTTCAGCTGAGAAGTTCAATGTCTTTAACCACTGAGCCATCGCCCCCAACCTCCACCCCCAGATGGTCTGGATAGAACAAGCTTAACCTTAACAGGGAGCTGTACATCATAGGAAGATCTATTATCTTCTAGAAAATGGACATCACAGAACTGAGCGAGCCCTTTAGGAAAGAGGGCCTTTATAAGTTTGTTAATAAAATATAAATGGAGCCAGACTAACTCTTTTTCTTTTTCAGACACTCATATGTATATAAGCAATAAACAAAATACTTTACAACTGTAATACATACCTCTCTTCTGTACTGAATGGCAGCTTCCAAATTGTCAATAATAATTGTATTACCCAAGAGCACCTGAAACACTGTAAAGATACATGAAATATTAATACCATATTTAGAATACAAAGCAATACACAAGCTGACATTTCTATTCACACCTACTTATTATGGAGCATCAGTAGTGAATACGATGTTAGCATCATGATATATTTAACAGAACTACCTCTAAATTAGAAAGAAAATTTGTCAAGATAATCAGGGTAAGAACAACTACATTGTTCTAGTAAGTACTGGATTTGATAAACTACAGGTATTAAGAAACTGTGTATGTGTATGTAAATTCAAGGTACACAGGCATTTGTATTTATTCCTTGTTCTCTAGTTGCTACGTTCCAAGATGTCTGCCGTACAAAATTTCATGCAGAAGCGCATGTAAAAGGAAAAGTAGTCCTACTAGCCATTTATTTAAGCCTCACTGTATCAGGAATATTTCAACAAACAATGCTGTTTCAGCAGAAGTTCGGTGGTTTTAGAAAGTACCATAGTTTTCGCTCCATAAGATGCACCTGACCATAAGATGCACCTAGATTTAGAGAAGGAAAAAAAATAAAAAAATATATTCTGAACCAGAGCCTGAGAGGACCACAGATAGGTGTCTCTCATGTGCCAGCCTTTTGACCTTTTGACTCCTGCACTGTGGAAAAGTGACAGAAGAGGCAGGCAATGACAAAGACAGAAGAGATGGGGTTGACCAATGTAAAAGGACCACACCGCCGCAGCCTGGCTGCTATTCACCAAAGGACCGGCACCGTAACTTTTTTTTTTGGGGGGGGGAAGTGTCTCTTATGGAGTGAAAAATACAGTAAGTCCTCTGAACTGGAAGGGATTTGAGGTGTTTGAAATCTATTTGGTCTGAATCACTTCCATATTGGAAAATTTATAGAAATTGCCAATTGCCCAGAACAATATAATCTTGACTGAGGGGGTGGGGGGGTTACAGGAAGTTTGTGCTCTGCTCTGATAACACTACATGTTCATCAGTTAATCTTTTGTTTTTCCGACTAACTTGTGTTTGGGAGCTTAAGTAAAAAAAAAAAAAGGGGAGGGGGGGAAATGTACTAATTTCCTTACAGGAAAGATGGGATAAATAATAATATTTATTTAATGCTTGCTTACAGAGAAATTTCTCGATAGCAACTACTAATAGCCAGATGGCATTAGTATTTGATGAAGAAGATGACTTTGCAAAGACATAGTTTCTTCAAACTCTTTCAATTACCAGCCTGGGATAATGTTCGGGTGTTTTGACTACAGAGACCCAAGTTAAAGTCTATATTCAACCATGGAAACTCACAGTTATTCAGTCTCAGCCCAACCTCCCTTACAGTCTTGTTGGTGGGAATAAAAATCTAAAAAACAATGTTTCTATGATAGTTACCCATTTTGCAATTCTCCATGTGCTCTGGAAATATTAGCAAGTTCCTAGCAAATACAGGATTTCCAACAGGACTGAAAGAGTTTCTTTTATTTTGCAAATGAGGTAAAGGTCTGCTTAAAACAAAGAGGAATTATTTCACTGTTGACCTTGTCAGACAAATACAAAACATATGGCAACCATTTAGATATTAGTGTTGACTACTAACATTTGAAAGGGGAAATTTGCATTTTGAATATATTACGATATAATTTACAAGGTACAGGATTTGAAACAGAATATGAGACAAATTCATTCTTTCAAAAGTAAATCACCATTAGGAACTCAGGAAAACAAATCGGAAGCTATTATTTAACAATTCAGGTATAGTGGCTAAGATCCTGAGCTAAACTGGAGACTATGCATTCTAGTCCTTCCTTGGGCATGAAAGCCAGTTACTCTAAAACAGATTGAAATGTGGAAATAAATTTATGAATTAGCACCCTTCCTCATCCCTTCTGACTCAGCTCTAGTTTTAAGCAAGGAAATAAACTTTAGAGTTGATAGTTTTTAGAATTGGAAGGGACCATTTAAGCCAGGCTTGTCCAAC